TAGACAATTTTTACCCACAAATTCTCGTTCATGTAGACTTTACTAAGGAAGTACTTTTTTTAATTCGTCATAAAGAATGTCCATTTTATCCATGATAACTCATGAGCAGAACCAAAGAAAAACACCAAATTTTAAATTCAAGCTTTATTTCGGCCTGCGGAGGAACATCTGGGGGGGATTACTTTCTAGGGGGTCATTTGTATGTTTTATAGAATATATCTGTTATTTACGTTTAGAGAAGAAAATGCTTTAAATAAATTACTTCTTAGTTCTAATATTATTTTCTATAATTTTTGTCTTGAACAAAATTTTCCTAAAATGGCCCCTATTCGAGAAAGTAAAAAAATCAATTTTTTAAGAAAATTGTTCAAATAAAAGTTGTTTGTGATATAATTCTTGTCCCATATATAATTTCTCTAAAATGGACCGTATTCGGGATATTTGAAAAAAAGTATAAATTTCGAATTTTTAAGAAACCTCAAAAACGGATAAAGTGAATTTTAAATTTAAGCCTTATTCGGGGCTGCGATGAACTGACTAGATTTTTGGCAGAGTCGGAATATTTGGGAGAGGGGGGAACTTTATAGAGGGTCGTTTTTATATTTTATGGAATATATCGGTTATTTACGTTTGGAGACGAAAATTCTTCAATTAAAAGTTACTCCTAATATTATTCTTTATAATTTTTGTTAAATACAACATTTTTTTAAAATGGTCCGTAATTGAGAAATTAGACAAAATGTGCATAATTCTAATTTTTGGGAAAATTGTTAAACTAAAAGTTGCGATATCGATCTCTATAAGTTCTGTTTTAAACATGATTTCTCTAAAATGGATCGTAATGGAAAAATTGAAGGAAAATTTAAAATTTTAATTTTTCAGTATTTTTGTTGGCAATGAATATAAACTGCTGGCTCTACTCGAACTTATAGATTTTTAGGCAAAATTTAAAGTTCAGTATTTTCAACACATGATTTTCCTATCTAGTTACATGCTTTTTCCGATTATTTTGTACAACCTATTGTAGCACATCTGTAAATGTTTAGATAATAAACTAAATATATACATTTTTCACATATTCGAATAATTTTTTTAATATATATACGCACTTGTACATTATCTCCAATGAAGACCATCTAGTTTGACTAATTCTTAACAATTTGTGGGGTTCCGTGTCAATACATTCTTGAAATTCTTTATAAACAGTAAACCTTTTTGGACTTTTCCAAATACCGCCGAAAATATGCATTTTAGAAAAAAAAATGTCAGCCAAAAGTTTTATAGTTTTTTAGGGGAAATATTTTGGCTAAATTCATTTTTTTGTAGTTGGCCATAATATGGCCATATCGAGGTGGACTTTGTTTTTTTAAATGGGAATCCCATTTTTCTTACATATTCTTAAAGTACATAAAAAAATAAGAAACTTTTGAGGGAAATATTTTTTTTATTGGACTTTTACTTTTTGAGTAACAGCTACTTGAAAATGTTGCTGCGCAAAAAAAAGTTGGCCATATTATGGTTAGCTATAAAAAACGATTTTAGCCAAAAGTTTTTCCCCACAAAACTATAAAACTTTCGTCTGAAATATTTTTTTTTTTATAAAAAGCGGTATATAGCTGTAACGATTTAAGTTGAACACCCGGTATAGTTGTATATGTCTTGAACAAACTCCTCTACTGTAGAAGGTATTTTTTTGTCGGTTCTGATGCACATCGATGTAAGGAGTGACATATACAATCAAGAACAAAAATATTTGAATTAACTTTTTCTTTAAGTTTTGCTTGCGCCCCGTCTCCTATCTGCCCCATCATAACAGAAGCGTTATCTGCACCGAAACCAATAACATTATGGTAATTTATTTCAGATTTCTCCAGTAAATCCAAAATGGCTTTAATGAGACCATCTGCAAAGCAATTCTTTACCTCTACCAGTGACAATAACTGGTCTTTAATGGAACTTTGGTTTATATCTACAAAACAGCACAAAATTGCCAAACATTTTTTTGTAGAGATGTCTGTTGTTTCATCTACTATTTAGTTAGTTGTTGCACACGTTCATTTTCAGCCTCAATCTTCAACATTTTGATTATTTGGGTAGTCTTTGTTCTCCTACAATTTATATTTTTCACCACTCTGGAATACTAGATACTAGAAGTTTAGGAACATTGATCCATTAGCAACATTGGGCAATTATGTTCTGCGATGAGGCCCATACTTAATTTGTACTCGGCTTCTTTAGCTACAACCGTCGATCTTTTTTCTTCTGAAGATTTTTTCAATGTTTTCTGTATTTGTAACCTTTTTGGCATTTTTTGTGTGAAACTGATTCTTTTCATGCCTTGTTAAATGAGTTGCCCCACCCTCAACTGTGTGATTACATAAAGAGCAAAATTTCTCCCCATTACGAAGTAGTTTTACCTGGAAACTGTCTAAATTTTTAATCTTTTTTTTTTCTCTACAAAGAAATTAAAAGACTAGAGGAAGCGTTGGTCTTATTATTTAAAATAAATAAAGGCATTTGTAGCCGTCATAATACTCCATTGGAAAACCAGGATTTATTAGTAGAACAAAAATATTTACAGTAAAAAAATTACTTGGTGTGGAGGAGATCTATCCCTACATTCCCAACTTAATGTTGTCGCAAATTCAGATTCTGATTAATCACTATTTTGTTCTAAAGTAATTGTGTCGTAATTTATTATTTTATCAGATGTTCTAATCTAGATAAACCTGATGAAATAGAAGGCTAAGAAATACTAAGCCTCCGGATCTGCCTCTTTAGCTATTCTTATTACAAACCTGTTAATTACAATAGTTTTAATTATTTATTAATACAACACCTATAATATATAAAATTTACTGTAAACCTAACAACCCCAACAAATAATACGATCCTATCCATTTTTTACAGTAAAATACTTATTTTTCTTTTGCTACTGATTTAAAAACATTTTGAAATTTATCGATATTTATGGTAAATGCATTGATATTTATTTTGAAAAATTCGTGCCGTCAGATCAATGTTTAAAATTGTACAAAATGTACTAGAAATATTATAAATGTACTTCTGTACAAACGGTCTCAAAATGTACCAGATCTGTACAATTGTACCAGCTCTGGCAACGCTGCAATAAACACCCAATTTAAAAGCTATAGGTCTGAGAAAGTTGTGCTGAACATTTTCTATTTTACTACTATATTTTATGTTATATAGTGTGGAGACCAAACAGAAGAGCAGTAGTCAAGGTGAGGTCTGACTAACGAACAATAAAGAACTCTAATTGCAGTTGTGTCAGTAAAATCACGGGTCAGCCTTTTGATAAAACCCAATATTTTCATAGATTTGTTGACAGCAGCAGATATGTGTTGATTGAAGCTTAAAATAGGATCGGGAATAATTCCAAGGTTTTTAATTTGATAAACAGTCTAAGATATGACCATTTAAGTTATAGTTAAATGTAGTTGAAGGTAGGTGGGAACGATAAAATCGCATGATATGGCATTTATTGGAATTCAAGTTCATGCCATTTAAAGAACACCATTCTGATGAGTTATCGAGGCCAGACTGAATTCTACGGGCATCATCATGGGTTTTAAAAATTTGGAATTTTTTTAAGTCATCTGCAAATAATAAAGCTATGCTGTTGCGGAAATAATAAACTATATCAATAATGAATAAGTTAAATAGTAAGGGGCCTAGATGTGATCCCTGAGGAACACCTGAGGTTACTTGAAATAAGTTAGAATAGTGTCAATTTGCTGTAACCATTTGGTTTCTATTAGTTAGATAGCTGCCAATCCATTGCAGTAATACCCCACCCACACCATATTTGTTGAGCTTTTGAAGTAGGAGAATATGGCTAACCCTGTCAAAAGCCTTGGAAAAGTCAGTATAGATGGAATCGATTTGTAAACCTTCATCCAAGACTACTGACAAGAAGTCGATATAAGTGATTAAATTTAACTCTGTTGATTTTCCAGCACAAAAACCATATTGTTTTTCAGTTATGAAGCCGGAGAAATCATAAGTAAGGTAATCAGTTATAATGTTTTCAAACAATTTAGGTATTATTCTGAGAAATGAGTTGGGTCGATAATTTTTGATGTCAGATTTGCTACCCGATTTGTATATTGGGATAACATGAGAAAGTTTCCAATTGCTAAAAGCGCTACAATGTATTCTTTAATTTGATACAAAAATAATTTCAGTATCTTTATTAGTTTTAAAGATATTACGGTGGAAACAAAAAAAATATAAATTCTTTTTTAATACAATTAATTAACTTTTTTTGATTTACAAAATGCGAGACCATAAAAAAAATGTCGTCAAATGCGATTTCATATGCCCAGTGGCATGCTCAAAGAAGCCTACCATGTTTGATCTGGTTCTACGCCAGAAAAAAAAACGACACAATAGACTCACGAAATCGCTGTTTTAATTTATTAGTAAGGTATTTTTATAATATGTTACCATTTTATTTACATCTTCCAAATAAAAAATATTGTTGCCATGTGTTACCGTTTCGATGGTGGTGGGTGGGCTTTTCTGGGTTTTTCTCACCTGTTAGTTAAATAGCACCATCAGTCATCTTTAAGTCGCCCTCGAGCGCCACGCTAATATTATTAATAACCGTCCCTTCCCCTACACAAGTCGCTAAGTCGACTTTAATATTTAAAACAAAATCTAGGGTTTCATACAGTATTACCAAACCATTCTAAACCTGAAATAAAACACACTTTTTTGCAAGGCAAAAACAACACCCTGTATACCCAAAAATATTTTTTAAATCCATATAACTTTTATTTGAAACTTGTTTGCGTGTCTATAACACAAATTGAAATATTACACAATTATACAGTAATGAAACACCCTGTATACAATGTCAATAACTATTGGCAATTCACATAACAATTCTAACTTATATCGGAAAATGTTTTATCAGTTAACCACCATATTTACAGAATTTGTCAAACCATTTATTAACTGCAGAATTTAAAGTTGTGCTATTAAAAATTGGACACTCCTGGTATATCCATATGTCTGGTCTTTGTTTACCAACGATTTGTTTTCTAGTTGAACACTTCATAGTGTATCTACCTATTTTCGTAGTTCGTTTGAAAGGATTTTAACAAAAAGTGTAAAGTTTAAATATGTGATATGTATGTGAAGTAGTTATTTTGTTGTAAAAAATGAAGTGTCGACATTTTAGATACCGTAACTATAATCAGGTAAATATAATTTAAATATTCTTTATGAAGAAATTATACATTTATTTTATATGTAATTGTTTTTTCCGTTTTCATCTTCGTTTCGAATTTGAACATTTAAATTGGCAAATTTATCAGTTGGTACGTTCAGTATATTATTCTTATCAATTAGATACCTATAAATAATTCAAAATAAACAATAATTTACCTTCGAATAAAATGAATGAACTTAGGGTTTGATGATATTATGACGTTAATAAAGTTGTTCTAAGTACTATCACCAAGTAGTAAGTACATTGTAATTAATATTACCAGCTTTGTAAATAGCTCCTTACGTACTCTTATAATAAACGATTAATGAACACAGGTATATTATAATTCATTATTTTGTTCTTGTAACTACTCTTTCTTCCTCACTTAATATTACAAATCTAAATCACATGTTCTAAAACAACTTTAAGTTTGTTTATTAACCCAAATAATTATTTTAAAATAAACAAGTTTAGGCCTAAAAAATAATAATTATTTTATTAATAGCTATTTATGAATCCACATACGAAATGTCTTATTTAATGTAACGAGTAAATATTTGCGGGAAGAGCAGAGCGAGGTTCCGCAATATGAGCGAATTACATAAAACGGCATTTCGTAATGAGGCTGAACTAGCAGAAAAACTAGCAGACAAACCGCACGGCGGTCCCTTAATGTTTTGATATTGTTATTTGACAAAATCTTTGGTTTAGGTGGACTTTAGTATCATGAAAGTTTAGGAATAAATCAAAATGAGTGTATTTATTCAAAAAAAGGATTCATTTAATTTTAATTATTAGTTAAAATAAGACGGGGACGAAACTAACACATTTACAATGCGAAAATATAATTTTTATACCAAATATTTATTAGGTTTTTATTAATTAATTAAACAAAAAATGATGGCCGAGCAATGATATAAAATATATTTTTTTGGTCTTTTTAAAGTCAGGTGTTTTGTCGTCAAACGACTGAGAACAAAGATACCAAAAAAAAAACACGTTTAGCACGAGACTATACAAATACAATTTTTGTACTAATAATTTAGTATACAACTAGCTTTTAAATAAATAAAAAATCATTAAATAGCAAGACATCTAAATATATTTTTTAGATCTTTAAAGTCAAGCGTTTCCGTGGATAAATATTACTCAATTAAACCAAAAAAAAACAAACATTTAACACGAGATTGCTAATACAATTTTTAAACATAGGAATAAATAAAATATCAATAAAAAAATAATTAATTACCAAATAACAAGACCTCTAATTACATTTTTTAGGTCTTTAAAAATACGCGGTTTCGCGAAAAAACATTATTCTACCAAAGTATCAAAATATAATATTTAGCACAAATTTCCAGATATAATTTTTAAAACAAATGATTCAGTATATTAGTATCATTCAAAAACACAATAAATAATTACATAGCAACCCTAGATACGTTTTTTAGGTGTTTACAAATGCGCGATTCCGCGGATAAACCTTACTTTATTTATTTGACAAAAACCAATATTTAAAACAAAAGTTTAGGTAAAATTTGTAGTACGAATGATTTAAAACATTATTTTAATTCAAAACAAAAATAAATTATTACATAGCAAGACCTCTAGATACGTTTTTAGGTCTTCAAAAATGCGCGATTCCGCGGATAAACCTTACTTTATCCAAATGACAAAAACCAATATTTAAAATAAAAATTTGGGTAAAATTCGTAGTATGAATGATTCAATACATTTTTATAATTCAAAAAAATAATAAATCATTACATAGCAAGATCTCTAAATACATTTTCTAGGACTTTAAAAATGCGTGATTCCCCGGATAAAACTTACTTTATCAAAATGACAAAATCCAATATTTATCACGAAAATTGAGGTATAATTTTTAGGCCAAATAATTCAGTGTGAGTCATTCCATTTAAAATCGTTTCATTGGCAAAGCTGGCCCATCTTACATTTTGGTGTAACTTCGAGGAACTATTCCTTAGGGTCTCAAGGAAGAACATTTACACAAGTTTGATTTTTATAAGCACTCGTTTCCGCCTATTTAAATGAGGACTTTTTAAAAAATCGATATTTGTAAGCCTTATCGACTTTTCCTCTGAAAATTTTCTTTTTGAAGATACTACATTATTAAAGCGGAATTCTGAGGGGGAACGATAGTAGTTTAAGTGTAAGCATCGATAATTTGCTCAGTCAATACCTTTGATTAACGGCAGCGCACAGTGGTCCCAAAATTAAAATTTTCGGCCAAAAATACCACAACTGCTGGATTTGTACTAAAATACATATATAGGGGTTTTTAAGGTGTCTAATTACGAATATGACCATAAAATGTCGTTAACAAGGTGTCGGGCTACAATATGGCCGAATTAAAAATAAATATTTGACCTTTTAAATTTTTTTATTTTTAACTGACCTGTAAAATTAACTAAATTAGTGGATTATTAAAGAAAACTAATTTGGGTAAAACTAGTGATAATATATTATAATAATTATTAATATAAGGAACATAAAAAAATACTATATCATAAAAAATTAATTGCACACAATAATCATTCTGAATCACTACTAACAGTTAACTCGGTTTCAGTTTCAGAGTCACTATCTACATCTCCGTCAAGTCTTAATTGATCTTGAGAACCGCTGGCTATAAGCATTTCTAATGCTTCTGGGGAAAATTGTTTTAATTTTTTCTTTGGAAGCTTTCTAATGCTTGAAATATAGGGGTCAGAAGATACAAGCAGTCTATTAAAAATATCTTTCATTGTTTTCACTCTTGAAAATTTTCGAGAAAAATCGGCACGATACGTTTTTAGGTCTTTGTTTATTGCCTCCTGGGCTTCCTAAGATAATTGTCCAATAGGTAATAAAGCATTTTCTATGACTTGTTTTCCATGTATTAACACTTTATGAACGGAAGTGGGCATGTAATACCATGGATATAAATTAACAAATAGTTTTGCCGTTTCAATAGAAAAATTTTTAAACATGTCATAATGAATATCGTAACTACTAGATATTACCTGTAAGATCACATGAAAACGTTTAATTAGTGTCTCGTCAATGCCAGTTATGTTTGCGGAAATTTCAGAATTTTCAAAAAAGCGTCGAGCAGTATTGCCGTCATCGGAACTTCCAAAACCAGGCTTTAACTTAAAATGACCGTACCACTTGTTTTGTTATTTTTATGTTTAGTGCATGTGTAAGTCGTTTTTTTTACAGCAAAAATCAACTCAATTTTTTTATTTTATAATCTTATAAATTCAGTTTTTCTTAATGTTTTATCGCAAATACAGATTATATCAGGCGTCTAATATCAAATGTAGCAAAAAAGTCCACTTTTATAAATTTTCCACTACACAACAAAAACGATTTGAAAAATATTAGGACGTTACATAAAATTACTGTTTTGGATTTTAAGTGTGTAAATAAATTATTTTATGAAAATTGCAGTCAAAATTGCCGTAGGATTTTAAATAATATTTTAAATTGGCTATAAATATTGGAGTTTGCAGTATTTGATATTTAAAGTTGGAGTTTGCTATATATGATTTGTTCATGAAAGGAGATTGCTGTTTATGATAGTAAACTGGGGTGAGAAAACATACAGGACTGTATTGAATACAAACACAGTTCTGCTCACTAATTAATACTGTAATTAACAGAAACCAAAAACAAATGTTTTTCATATTGTCAATAAAAATGTGTCCATGGGCGCCGACCAAAAAATTGCTAGGAGCAAGTCATATAGGCATATAAATATTATTCGGAGTTGCTCGAAAGTCCGAAATAAAATTATTAACTGTCCAACCAGTAACTTAAAAATAAAAACGCTGAAACAGGTGAATTGATTTTACATTGGACGTATTTGTTGCCAATAAAATGAATTTTTTTTCTTCAACCCCTTAGCTGCAACCCTATCCAACTTTTTTTTTTCAAATGGAAAGGTATGTTGGGTGTAGGTCAATGAAAAGCTCGAGAAAAGCTCACCATACCTTATTTTTTTTTTTTTTTCGTTTACTTATGTGGTTATTGGGAAATGAGAAAAAATTCTTTTAAAAACGAAAAAGATACAAATAGGTTATAGTGAAATTCCATTTTTCCCTACAAACGACTTATCTTTGCATTTGAATGTACTTAATGTAGGAATTTATGTGATTCTTATTGTCGATATAGATTTAATAATTGCGGTCCTGGAAAAAATGTTGCTTATCTCAATCATTTCGCCTTATTTGCTTTCCAATTTTTGGCATTTCTAACACACTTTCTTGCGTGTTTTTTATCTACAGGAGGACAAGAGACCTCCATTTTATGAATTTTCATTAAACAATTCTTATTATTTTGTTATTATATACTAAAAAACAGTAATTAACTATGAACGTGTTGTTACAAACCGACTACAGCTACTATACTGGTTTAACTACTTGCTATTGGCTGAAAGTGACTTTGCTACTTTTGTTATGTTAAATCTGGAGATTACTGTTTTTAATACAAACTTACAACTTTGCTGAATGGTTTTAACGACTTATTTCAGCTTTTGTTACAAAATAAGATCTGATATTTTAATAAACAAACATTCCAAACCGGTACGACACAAAAAGGTTTAATCGGAAAATTTGGAGTTTGCTGCTTTTGATATTAGACCCATGATATCTTACCTTTTTATCGAACTTCAGGTGTTTTAATATCTAACAGTTTCTTACTGGAAGTTTTAACTATTGAATTGCAATGAATTACAAACAATAATAATTATAAATGTGAAAGAATTCCCAAAGTTTCAATCGAGTTAAGAACATATTAAGTGTAAAATTATCTCATCTATCATAAGTGAAGATCTAGTGACTATTAAGTCCTGGTCTGATTCGAATGGACTTTGTTTCAACGCCAGTAAAACTGTAGCATTGTCTTACAGAGGTACTTTACAACCTATAACTTTAAACAATAATCTGATCCAAACGGTGACTTCAATCAAGTTTTTAGGTCTTT